CCCCCGGGCCCCCTAATTGTTGTCCATCTTTTCGAGCAAAAAATATATCAACGACAGAAAGGACATCTCAGAGACTCGTTGTTATCTCTTTTCATTTGGCTGGATTAGGTATTCTATTTTCAAGGTATACTATAGCTTGCTATAATATAATACAGCTAACATTTCATCAGAGATCTGAAGGTGTAGCAACAAAGGTCTGCAAATAGACGTTCGATGGAGGTGGAGATGTCGTTTAAAAGTGTAGATGTAGTCTGTGACTCTTTAACATAGGTGAGGCAGCGTGGTGGAATCAGGCTCTCGTCAATTTTGGGACATATAGAGTTATTGGTATCATCTTAAAGCTTGTTCACCTGTCTTTATTTTGATAAAACAAATATCCATTTATCTTGAATACAAGTCGAGATATTTTCAAAAGAAGGAGGTGGGGTTCAGTCGTTTTCAGAGGTAAAATTAGTGAAAAAATGGCCACCGGAGATTAGTTATTTCCTCAACTGAAGAGTCCGCGGTAACTGAAAATTTACATTTTTTGTGCCTGTAATCAACGTCTTTCAGAAAAATCCACACATGAATGAGTTCTTTAATGGGCATGAAAGGTGTTGAGCCAAAAAAACAAAAAGATAAAAATTCACGAACTTGCGGAAAAATGCAAGTTTCTTCACTTTGATTATTTTGACGACAGCCTGATTCCACCACGCTGCCTCACATAGGTGTTTTTTCAGTCCCAGCGACAAAGTTTAGATCGTTTTGGAAGCGGGATACAACCCTGCCTGTCAAAAACAGTACCCGCTCAAAGGGGACAACTATGAACATTCGAGTCCACGTCTGCCAGAATACAAAATAGAACAGAAGTAAAGGGATACCAACGAGTGCACTTTTTTATTTGTTGAAAAAATAACAGAAAGCAAAAACTATAACAAAAGAGGTATTTATTTCATATTAAACATCTGAAAATTTCTACCCAAAAATGGGGGTAATAGAGGTTGGGCTGGGTCCCTGAAGACTATCAAGAACTTTGTCGTAAAAACTAGTAGCTACCCATGGGGAATACAGCCGCTTCGACTGGGACGGAGAATTGATGAGCAGGTAGTTCGGTGCTCCTGATCGGTACTGGTTCCACGTTGCTTGGGTATTAGGAACAGGCGCCGTTGGGTTTCCTGTCTTGGCAAAGTTGGTCCACCTTCCCATTATTTCTTGAGATACAAGACGATCGTTAGGAGTAGGTATCCCATTGCCTTTATCGGTGATCACTTCTTGTTGTGCGTTAAACCAGAATATCATCTCTTGTCCGTGTAGAGCTGACATCCATTGTGGGGATTTACTGAAGCTTGGTCTGTAGTTGAACTGGTACAAGTAATGTTTCTTTTCTGGAGCTTTGCTAACAACTTTTTCCAATTCAGATACCATGGGGGCCCCAAATATAAAGTAATCTACACCGTCCAGTGTTCCTCTTTGTATGGCGTCAGTGGTTGTCTTACCTGTGAGAAATGTTGCCTCCATCGCTTTAAGTACCTTTTCCCGGTCGATATCAGTAAACTGAACCAGCTGACCTCTCCAAATCTGTTTTGCCATCTCCCTTGTGACTGGATTTGGGCCTGATAAAGCCGGAATGAATCCTCCAAATTCATCACTATTATACCCCCTTAAAGTATCTACGTGGCTGAATTGTCCTCTAGACAACAAGGCAGATGGCTTGTCTGGCAGAAAACCAAACGTTGTTTCTACTCTAGGAACATTGATGAGGGTTGCTTGTACGGCTCCAGTGATTCCAAGGGATGTCTTGAGCAACGTATTTGCATCTACTTTTTGCAAGCAGGACAAAAGAGCAGTTGAATTATTTAAGTCGTTGCAGTTAACGGCATTGCTGATCAATCGGGCCGCAATGCGAGGGGTTATTCGATTTCCTGGAAATTCGACTGCCCAAGGCGAAAGAGAGGAACCACTTTCCATGATCGCTCTCTGGAACAGACCTTTGGCTAGCGGTGACATAGTGAGGAGAGAGACGCAACCCGACCCAGCACTTTGTCCAGCAATAGTCACCATATTTGGGTCCCCTCCAAAAGAAGCAATGTTATTTTTGACCCACTTCAGAGCGGCGACCTGATCCAACATCCCATAGTTTCCAGGCATAATGTCATCTTCTGTTGACAGAAATCCGAAAAGATCAAGCCTGTAGTTAATGGTCACAAATACAACTCCTTTAGCTGCGACGTAGGTAGCATCATAGGATGAGCCTGACCCAGAATTGTACCCTCCTCCGTGGATAAACACCATGACGGGCAATGGAGCGCTGCTGGTTCTCTTAGTCGGCGTGTACACGTTAAGGTAGAGACAGTCCTCGCTGTGAGGAGCGTTTGGATCTCTGAATACATCATTTGCGGCCACTCGCTGCAGACACTCGTCCCCAAACACCAGGGCGTCTCTGATACCAGTCCATTTGTCAGGAGAAGCAGGTGCTTTAAAGCGGAGTGGTCCTGAAATTGAAAAAAAAATCACAGTAATAATAGATAGCATATGTATAGCGCAAATCCCAGCTCAACATCAAGCTCTATGCGCTTCACAATCTGTTCTATTATCCCAGCATACCTGAAAGCATTCTGAAATAACCTCAACTTCCTGGAATACAGTTCAAGCAGCCATTTATAGGCGCTAAAACACTAACATACTGACAAGATCTTTCGCTGCCTATGGCCGGGTACCCATTCTCACCAGGGTGAAGATAGGAAAATTCGTGTAAAGTGCCTTTCCTAAGGACACAACGTCGGGCCCGTCGCTCGAACCCCCGACCCCGCAACCTCACGATTACGAGTCCGGTAGCCTAAAGTCTGCATGTCAATTTATGCATCTAAACGATGTCATCTCCCAAGTATTAGAATTCAAAGTTTTCAACTATTTCAACAGGAGACAAAGTAGCTGATTTGTTACCTTAGCCCCCTCTAAATTTTAATGTTACTACTACTACTTTAATTCGGATATTCGTGCTCGTGGGAACGTTGGTGATTTCTGTTTTCATTTTCAGCATTTTGTAGAAAAGTCATTTTATCTTCAAACAAGGGTTCGAAACACAGAATAATTCTATTTCATAACATAAAGATCTCAAGGTGTTAGTTACTCTATTGAGATAAAGTTAACGTGTCACAGCTTCGATCATTACGATTAGCAAGACCAGCTTTCATATGTACACACTTCACAGTCACAGTCAATGCATACACGCCACACATTGGTTTCCAGATA